GACTCAGCCTTCCATCCTTCCGAGGTGAGTGAAATGAGGACCCGGACTGTGGGGGCAAGTTGCTGACTGAATTTGCTAAAAAAAATTGTAAACCGCTTAGAGAGGGCTGAAAGCCCTATGAAGCGGTATATAAGTCTAATTAATAAAATAAATAATAAAATAAATAATTGAGCCTACAACCTCCCTTGCTAAGCGAGCAGTTATTAAGCAAATTTTGCCCCATTTTACAACCTTCCTTGCCACCGTTCTTAAGGGAATCGTGGCCGTCATTCAGTTAGCAACACGGTCGTTAAGTGCATCCAGCTTTCCCCATGGACTTTGCTTGTCAGGGGGCTGCAAAAGGGAATCACGTGACCCAGGGACACTGCAACCATCATAAATGTGAGCCAGTTGCCGAGCATCCGTATTTTGATCACAGGACCCTGGGGAGGCTGCAACATCAAAAGTGTGAAAAGCAGTCATAAGTCACATTTCTCAGTGCCTTTGCAACTTCAAACCATCCCTAAACAAATGGTTATAAGTGAAGGAATATCTGTAAATTTTTCTCACGATGGAATTAACATTAGCCAATGTCTCTTCCCACGTAGAATATTCTATTGTTCGTGTTGTGGTCTGCTAATGGCTTGCGGAGTTGGCAGCAAAGTCAGACAGTGAGGAGGTTGCGGGGGAACATGGGCCAGCCCTGGAGTCTGGGGAAGGCTTGAACGAGGGCTCTGTGTCGGAGGCAGAGAGGGGGCCAGGGCCATCTGGGAGTTACGTGCTGCCTCCGGAGCCTCCTGAGTCGGACATCAGCGAGGCAGAGAAACAGGGGGAGCCTCTTCCCAGCGCGCGCATGCGCAGAGCTGCCAGAAGGCAAGAACAGTTAAGACAAAAGGGGCAACTCGGGAGTGAGGCTTGGAGATGATTTGGTCCCTCCCATAAAACATAAAAGAGGAGCAAACAGACATGAGCCTTTGCAGAAAGCAACTTTGTTCATTGTGGTCGGTTCAAACTCTGAAGCTTCTTTTAGACTCTGTGCTCTGTTTCGCCTTGCAAAACTAATTGGCAGTTAGGTCTCTGGCAGCATTTCAAGGGAGATAAAGGTGGGTGCTTATAGCAATAGCAATAGCAGTTAGACTTATATACCGCTTCATAGGGCTTTCAGCCCTCCTCTTATCAGCCTGACCCTGAAAGACTGTGGCAGACTTCTGTCAGACTCTTTACAAACTATTTGTGAATCATTACAGGCTGTGAATGGACATAATTCACAGCTGTTGAAATTTTTTAAAAAAAGGTTTTTGGGACTAAGCATGTGATTTTTACTGTCTCGGGAAGCCTAGGTCAGAACGGTTCGTTAAATTTGAAAGCAAACCCTTATTAGAGGCTGATGTAATAACTCACATTATTGAAAGTTCTTTATCTTTTTTTTTTCTCGTGAAGATTAGTGTCGTGACACCTCCAAGAGAAGAAGGCAACGTGGACATTTTGAAGTCTGGCCGCTACTACATTCTGATACTGGGACGTGGGAGAATCTCCCTGACTTGGGATCAAAACATGGGAATTACTGTCATCTTGAAAGAAAACTACAAAGTAAGCCGCTTCGGATTTATTACTTAGCAATAGCTTGTGTGTTGATGAAGATTCTCAGACAGCTAGATAGACTTATCTGGAATTGGAGTCATGGCAAATGGATTTGTTTTCGTTTTCCCTTGGCAATATTTCGCTGTTTATCCAAGTAGCGTCTTCAGCCTGAGCAAGTGGGTTAGGGACAGGGGTGGGATTTAAAAATTGTAGCAACCAGCTCTCTGCCCAGTTGCTGGGTAGGTGTGGCCATAGGGTTCCACCACAAATGCACGCACAACAAAAGCGCGCCAGACTAAACCGCGGTGTCTAAATTGCGGTGACAAAACCGCGCGACGAATTAGCGACTAATTAGCCCTAAAGCGCGCCGACAAAAGCGCGCTGTAACCCTCAACCTAACCCTAACCCTAACCCTAACCCTAACCCTAAACCTAACCCTAAACCTAACCCTAAACCTAACCCTAAACCTAACCCTAAAC